CAGGCCGCCGAGGCGCCTCGGACGCAGCAGGCTGGGCGACCATCGATGCCTTCCCTGACGACGCTGCTTGGCTCGTCTCTGTCGAAGTCGACGACAACACAGTTCGTGGAAATTCCCAGCCCGCCACGTTGCCATCGGAATGAGTCACCAGTGTTGCACTCCTGTCACAGGCTTTTATGTTGCAATCCTGTCACATGCTTTGATGAATCACCAGTGTTACAATCAATTCGTAGAACAAAAGCTAACAGAACAAATGCAAGCTGCTATTCACTTCGTAAAACAAAAGCTAACAGAACAAATGCAAGCTGCTATTCAAGATTTGCTACACAGTACAGTATGCAACCACACTGACTCCTCTTCGGCGGCTCGCACACATCGGGGACATCGCCACCTGATGCTCGTCTGCTTCCTGGCGGTTCCGCCGACACACGGCGCGCCCCAACTTGCAGCAGGTCACGCAGCGTGGCGTCAAAATGCTTCTCAGCCGCCGCCAAGCATCGCGAGCGCTCAGCCTCGTTCTTCAACTTCGACATGGGATACAAGGACGCCACGAGGAACTTGCGTGTATCTGATGCATCCACAAACTTGAGCTTTTTGAATTCATTCTGTCTTCTTCCTCGCATGGACACGATGCAGCCGAACTCCGATTGGTAACGGCGATTCAAGTGCTTCACCACATACTTCTCATCTTTCGGAAAGTCCAGATGCACGCCGTATTGAATGCATTCGTCAAATGGCGTTGACTTGCGGCCCTTGCTCGCACCGTCCAACCATTCGCTCAAGTTGACTTTTTCTGTTGGCATGTCTGACCGCACGGCTTTGACGTCGGAGACACCACCGCCCTGGGTTTGGCACCACAGACACTACTCAGCATTGCTTTGAGCAACAAAAGCAACACCATAGCGTTTCGAATTCATACATTTTTTCCCATTTCCACGCTATACACATATATATTCAAGATTTCTATACACGTATATTCATGACTATACACATGTATTCATAAGCTCGGATCACATGAATGAAGACAACTCAATCAAACCCATTCCGGCATGACCATACCGCAAAATGCAAGTCGGCTGTGGAGATCACCACCACACCATCGGTAGAATACCCATTGCCTCCGCAGCGACGCCAGCTGGGACGCTCCATAGGCAGCGCCATGAAGAAGAACCCGATGCAGCAGGTATCACCTTCCAACAGATTGCTGTAACAAATGCTGTTATCAACAACATCATACTTGCATGCTTGAAGCATTTTGACAAAGATCCATACATGCGAGCATGAGCAACAACTGAATCGCTTCCGCTTACACTGATATTCCGGAGCTACGTTGACTGCACAGTCCAAGCACCTTCTTGTTCACCAGTGAATAATTTTCTAGAAATGAATTGAAAGTCGCCATCATGAACCCACAGCGTGCCATGTACGGCCATTCCGATCATACCAACAACAAAATCAAACCAACAAAGCGAAGCAGTGGTGACAACAAGCAGTGCATTGAGACTCATCAAGTCACAGCGACAAGCAATGCGTCGACACTTTATTTTTTATCTATCAAACGTGCGAAACAGTCTACATTGTTCTCAGCTCTGACACCAGCTTTCTCTTCCTGTTGTCATCAACTATGTCACAACATCTTTGCTTGCAGCGACGCCCACGAAAGACTGGATCACCGCGTCGAACTCTTTCTCCGCAGCTGCCAGCGCACGCAAGCGTGCTCTCCTGCCCCAGAAAGTCGGTAGCGGATACAAAGACGCACGCAAGAGCTTCCCCTCGTCCGCACCATCTTGCTGCGCTCTGAAAGCCTTCCTCCCCCGAACAGAGATCCTGCACCAAAACTCTGCCTCATATTGCCGAGTCAGGTCTTTCACGAGATATTTCACTTCACTGGGAGATTCGACGGAGAAGCTGTACTGCACACATTCTTCACCAGCGACCTCACAGCGACCTTTCTTGATGCCATCCAGCCATGGCAATAACGGAATGGCACATTTTGACGTAGCTGCTGCAGCTCCGGCTTCCCATGTGGACGATTCCGAGTCGGGGACATCGCCACCTGGCCTCGCAGCGGATGAAGGACGATGACCTGTTGTCATGCCTTCAGCGACTTGAGGTGCAAATCAGAACTAGTTGCAGCCAGTTTCAAAGCGTTGCAACATGGCACCACCACCAAGACAACATGGAGCGAACAAACGCTCAGCCACCCCAGCTCATCCTCTAACGCACACTTCACAACCAAGCTATACTATTCGCAGCAGCAGCATCCACAATCTGTTTCCGCGACACAAACAGTTCGCATCCATTTATATGGGCATGAATTTGGAGAAAACATCACATTGAGCCGCCGACATGGCCGCCTGACTGCCACAGAATGAAACATCATAATCACTACATCATCAACTACAATCAAATAATTCTGTCGGCTGACAAAATCAACAAAAAAACATAATGTTGTCACCGATCAGGACTGACCAGACGGATGGTGATACGGTCTCTTGGCAGGCGTCGCCTCCATCAATGCGTCCGCCTTCTGCTTCGGGCCCCGCCGAACGGTCAACCCCTGCAACGCACTAATTTCTTTCGCGTGCAGATCACGGACAGTAGCTTCGTCCATGTCCAACGCAAACACCCGAGCGACCGTGATCACATAGCCCTTGTCAGCCAAACGAATCGAACCCACCACCCTGAGTCTCGAAAAAGAGTAATTTTACACACCCTTCATTTTACGTAAATTTTGGTGATTTACAGTAAATATTTACGTAAATATTTAGGTGCAATGTAAATTTAGGTTGCATGTAAATTTATTTAGGTTGCATGTAAATTTATTTAGGTTGCATGTAAAATTATTTTGGTGTCGTGTAAAATGATTTATGTGTTTTTTGTTGTATTTTGGTCAATGTTTAAAAAAGAGTATTTTTAGTAAAAGGGTTAAAAAGTATGTATGTCATGAAAGTGTTTTTCTTTTTTTTAGTAGTTTTGTTTTTAAATAGGAACCTGAAAAAGTGAAGAAAAGTTCTTGTTTATGTTACTTGTGTCAACAGCAGTGCCTTTACTTGAGTCATCGTGATGGCTTACTTGCGTTATTGAGAAGGTTTTTTTCTGTCAGATTTTGGCAGAAGGTGGAAGTAGTGTTTGAACCGGGGGGCAGGCTTTGTTGAAATGGCAGCTTTGGAAGCGGCTGTGCAAGTCAAGATGGCGGTGACGGCGGAGGAAAAGGGCAACAAGCAGAGTACCCGTGTGCGCTTGATTGCGGACCCTTCCATTTCTGTGAAGAGCATCCAAGCCGTTTTGAGTAAATATGTTGAGTTCAAGCAGGAGAAGCAGCTGTGGTCACTGGTATGCCCTCCCGCGAGTGGGCCATGCTCATATGGCTGGCATTCGAAGCCGGATGGTCAGTGGTTGATGAAGGTGGCCGGCCTTTTGTATGACTTACTTGCGATATGTCCGAACACAAAACTTGTGTCTAAGAAAGTCGTGGCAGCCTTGAAGGCGATGCAGACGAGCTTCGTTGCCGAGTTCCCGCATACCAAGTATCTTAGCAGCTCAGACCTGATGGACAAGGTGGACGTTACTCTCCGTGTTCTTTTGAGTATGCTACGTCAATTGAAATGTTCCTGCGTCTTGAGAAGCAGAACTTATAGGATGCTCAGCAAAGCCGAGCAGTGCAAGTTGAACCTGATTTTGGATCGTGTAGTTCTTCCCTCGGAGCTCATTGGAGATGAGAACTTTGAGGATGACTTGGGGCCGGAGGGTGATATCTACATGACTTCTTTTGAAGGTTCTGAGAAGACTTTGGATGTGGCATCAGCTGTGATGAGTGCTCAGTTGGTGCCTGTGGCGAAGGAGCAGGCGAAGGCATCGGAGTCTTCGCCCCGCTTGGCTTTGCCCTCGCAGAGTCTCGCTAGCAGGTCGGTGAATCCTTTGCCATCCATATTTGGCAAGATCTTGGCTCAGAATGGTCAAAGTGCAGTTCATGTTGGTGTCTCCCAACTTTCAAAGCCTGCTTCAAGTCTTCTAGCCTTGGCAATGAACCATGCTCCAAAGGCTTCCTTGAAAGAACAGAAGATTCCTCCGAGCAAGAAGGGTACCAAGACCGGTGAGAAGATTTCGGTCACGAAGCAGAAGAAAACTAAATGCAAGAAAGGTGCAGAGAAGCAAGTTAAGTCGCATTGTTCCAAGAAGATGAACCATGTGAAGGGCAGCCATCGTGCTTCGACCAAGGGTGAGTGTCTGCAAGCGAGCCCCGCGTTGAGTTCGACCTACAAAGCTGGGGAGATGGCAGCTCACAGAATGAAGTACGTGCAGGAGCAGATGGATCATGGTGGCATGAATAAGAGAGAGGCCATGAAGGCTTGGTCAAACTCATTGCGTCGTGCTGAACTTTTGAAAGATCTTAGTCTGAGTGAGCTTGTCAAGCGTCGTTTCATTCCCCCCGGTTCGACAACGAACCCTTTTGCTGAGCAGGTTCAGCGTGCTCTAGAAGCTCCCAACGTGGATTGAAATATTGTTTCACGTTTTGTTTTCATTGTGTCACTGTTGGTTCCACTTGGATGTTGGGTATGCTTGGGAGCTACGAGTCTGACAAACTTGATGGGGTTTCGAGATGTTTGAACACATGACATCTCAAGAGTGTAATCGACAGGCTTTCGTGTTGATCACGAATGTTGCGATACGGAGAAAAATTACTTGTGGCTTTACTTGCGTCAGATGTTTGCAACTTACTTGAGGCAATACTTGCAAATCACAGGAGCTGTGATAATCGACTTTACTTGTGTCGACTGTGCGCTGGACATGTATATATATATATATTCATTGCTCATGCATTTCCAGCACTGGTGGATCGAATCAGATTTCGGAGATGTATATAATGTATTCCAATTTTTACATTCAGTCACCCACCATCCTTCATACGATTACGTTTGTCATCACATAAACTGGACCTCAAAAGCAATTATATCTTCATTTTCCTGTAGCTGGAGCCAGACCTGCGCGAAGTGGCCATGGTGTATGAGCTTCACATTCATAATGTCAAATATTCTGTATTTCCTGAGGAAGCGCGGGCTGTATTGCAAACTTTGCAAGTAGCCGAGGGCCTTCTGCACATTCGATATGATAGAGCAGAAGGGTGGAAAGAGGCATTCGAAAATATGATTCGCAATTGGGGGCCTAGATTCCTGTTGCAGCTGGTTCTGATCTTCGATACTGAACAGAGAGCGAAGCAATGCGCGCATGCACTCCATGGACGTTGGATTAGCGGCCTGAGCAAAGAAGGTGACAATACATGTCACTTGACGGGAAAATGAAAGTTTTGAATTGCTTACTCTCTCAGATATTTGTTTTTGCTAACGAAAAAGATGTCGAGTCGGAGGTCTTGCGGCAACTACTTGCGGCAATCCGGATGCTCCGCAGACATCTGGAGTTTTTGCCGCTACTCCCGAGGGCTTGGGTGGGTGTCGACCTTCTTTGCCTATGTATCCCGACTTTGTGCATGTCTCAACAAGTCCTTTGACGCCATGCATGCCTGCAGCGGCAGCAATGATTCCTGGTGGACTACACACCACTGTACCGCCGACATCGTTGGGACTCAGGACAGTGCCAACCAGGCCATCGCTGCGTTGCAAGTCGACTGCTGCGGCTAAAGGTGGCACTTCTCCTTTGCGACAAGGACTTGCATCAGATTCTACATCTCATGCAAAACGAAGGAGTCGGTCGCCGCAAAGAACCGTTTTCCCTTCTATGCAGCCAGCTTCCACTTCATACGTCCGAAATTACCCCATGGATGGCACCTCCGATGAGGAACTCCGTGCAGGTTTGCTTCGTTTCTTGCAAGAAGAATGAGCACACGCTTTGCGCATGCAGCGAGTCAGAAAAAGAGGCGCGCATTACTTGTGGTGTCATTTTATTACTTGTGATGTTCATTACTTGCGTCGATTGGGAAGCTTACTTGCGACCGCTCGGTGTAAATATACTTGCGTCATGCGTTAGCTGCGCTTGGCCACCGGACATGAGGATGATCGATGTTTTTTGGTTCCAAAAGGAGCTGGTGTAGTGTTAATGATTCCACGTGTATTGCTAGATGTGTTTGAAACATCTCCTACACGTGTCCATGCTTCGAGTCATGCAATCATATCTTTAACACAGCAGTTCTGACGTAGCTGCCATGCAGCGTTCCCAGCGCGTTCTGCCGCGCGTGTACTTGTACAATGTGAGATATGATGCGTCCAAAAATGAAATCCGACGCCTGGTCTTGGAGTATACTGGAGTTAACCGTGCTCTGAAGGATATTCAAGTGGTGAGAATGGATGATGGTCCGTCTACGCCTCTTCACTGTAGCTGCTTCTTGAAGATCGACAATGTATCTTGTCTCATTTCATTCATCGCGTCCTGGATTATTGCAGATAGCAGGTTTGAAATTTACTTGAGATCATGTGTTATTACAACGCTTTGTTTTCTGAAGGCTGAAGATGTGGACTGGGTGATCCAGAAGTTGGATCGCCAGTATGATCGGTACATGTGCACGGGGCGACTAGGCTGTCTTCTATTTTCTTGTCTGCTATTTTTTTGCGGGTGAGACTAGAGATAATATATACCCCTTTACACGAACCCCATGAAGAATAGGTAAAGACCATATGATGCAGATAATACCTACTAGTCTGTACTTGAAGCTATTTTATATTATATTGTCCTGTCTATGATCAAAACAATGGAGGCGAGACAAGCCTTTGCGTGCGGAGTATGAAGATTTCTTCAGGAGAAGCCGCTGGGAGGAGCCACCGAATCCAGCCCATCTCCAGCAGCCAGTAACTCCAGATCGAATGCCAGGGCGACCACCTGCTGCTGCTCCAGATGTTTCTGCTGTACCTCCTACATGGTTTCCCCAGCCTCAAGCGCAGGTCTGGCAATCGGCAGGACAGCCGTTCAATCAGTGGTGTCAGCAAGGTGCAGTCCTTAACCAGATGGAGCAGTCCAATGGATATGCTCAGGCAACAGTGATGCATGGGTGGCAGCCTCCTCAATGGAGCCAGGCCAGTGGCATGCAGCAGGCAGGGATCCCGACACTGAACCAGAGGATGGCATGCTCAGTGGAGCCTATGCTGGTCAGAGCTTCCACTGTCGGAACTGTTCCCCAGGCAGACTATGCCACCAATCAATGGCAACAGTCTACGATGCAAACGACAGAACGAACGATTGCAGAGGACGATGTTGCGTTGAACCAACGCCTTGTGGCTGCCCTTGCTCAAAGACAGTAGGATATGGAATGTCAAAGAATGCAGTTTCAAGATGCCTCACTAGGAACTGCTCTGCACAAAGCTCGTCCTACGTGCAAAGCATCTGCTGCTCCACCTGGAGATTCTAAGCTTAATGTAGTTTCTTTTGATTTTCAGCCACTATCACTTTGTTTTCCTGTTTTTTCTTTTGGACAGTTGAATCTTTGCTGCATTCAGGATGCACTTACCCCAGAAGAGTCTGGTCCACATGAATTTCTTGAAGCTAAACAAGAACAAGGTACAGACGATATCTGGGAGTATGATTTACCAGATGACACTCCAGCAGATGCTCAAATCATCGAGGAAGGCAGCACAGAGGAAGACATGATGTCTCCTGCAGATAGCTTGGACATCAATGACGACGACTTGGCAACTGATCTGTACCAGAACTTCACTGATGGAGATCCATATGCAGTGAACTTCACTGCAGAGACTGCAGATGAAGCAACAGATGTAGCTGCAAAGAATCTCAGTGATTCCTCTTCAGATGGAGAGGTTGATGAATGCAAGATCAAGAACAAAATTAGGAGACTTGAATGGAAACTGGAGAAGAATAGAAAGAGACGCAGAATCTGATGACTCCTGCACGTGATTTCGTTTGCACTGAGAGAGGAAAAAAAAGGAAGTACTTTACTTGTGGCGTTTAGGTTTGCCAGTGGTCATGTTGTTTACTTGAGATGATATGAAATATTTTTCTCAACAAGTCTATATATTCAGATTTTTTATATTCAACTACATTTTACCAACCATATTATTTTTCCACAAAAAAATAAGAAGAAGTATATTGTTGTGAATATAGATTCAATGTAGGTGAGATTGAAACTGCCAAACGATTTCCTTTGTTTAAGAACAAAAAAATAAAATCTACATGAAATTTTTAGTTGGATTGCATGTTGATGTCAAAAATGTTCAAGATAATTTTCCTCATGATCACAAAATTTTATGAAAATATAAGAAACTTGCACAAAGTTTCTATGTAGTTTCTATGTAATTGTTATGTAATTTATATGTAGTTTCTATGTAGTTTCTATGTAGTTCTTATGTAGTTTTTATGTAGTTTATATGCACTTTTTAAAACTACATAAAAACTACATGTAGTTTGATCAAAAGTACATGTAGTTTTTATGTAGTTTTAAAAAGTGCATATAAACTACATAAAAACTACATAGAAACTACATACAAACTACATGGAAAATGGAGAGAAATTTTGTATTGAAATCATTAACTTACATAAAAAATATATATAAGTTTATTTCAGTCTGGATTAAAATCTTTGAAATTTTAATTATTTTTTTGTTGTTTCAAAATATAATGTAGAACAAAAAAATCATAGGTTTCCTGATATACACTTCTCATACAACATGCACGTCATTAAATGTGAGCATTAAAAAAAATAAAACAAAAATTAATTAAGAAAAAATATAGATTATTTTTTGTTTCTTATATATAAATCTGCCCTATTATTTTATCTCGAGGCATTTATTTTCTCTTAGATTCAGGTTCTGCATAATCTTTCTATATTTCCAGAGATGTAACCTTGTAGGACCAAGTAATCATGATTTTATCTAAGACATGTTTCAAAAGGGAAGTAAGGGAATCTACTTGTCTACGATTCCAAGATGTTGCTGTTAATTAAATTGAAGTTCCTTGTGATCTTCTGTACTTGCGTAGTGGAGACACAGATGCCAGAAGAGTTCTGGTACTCCTGTAGTTGGTTTTATTTTTGACCTTGTTGCTTGCTACCTTTGCAGTCTCAAATTGACAAACAACTATCTCAAAAATAAACATATTTAAACTCTAATAAAAACATATTGCATGATGTCATGACAGGTTCTATATGTTCGCTTATATCTGTTTGTTCTGGCAAGCTTATATTATGTTTGCAAGTATTAACCTCAAGTAAAGACGCAAGTAAGATATTGCATTACATCATCAATCACAACGTTTTCAATAGGTTAAGAATTTTTATGTTATACTTCACTATTGCGTTGTCAATTCTAATTTGGCATTATTTCAAGTATGTTTGAACCTGTTTTGCTAACTCTATGACACAAGTAATGTATAGCATGTTTATGTTGTCATATTGTATTTCATTTTGTCTTTATCTGTCATCGAAAAAAAATAGGATACACCGGAACATTTCCCGGAATTCAAGTGATAATATTAAGTGCCACAAGTAAACGTGCGGAAAATGACGCAAGTAAATAAACAATTCTACAACCATTTACACCAAAATCATAAACACTCAAAGAAATATAAAGTGAATAAACATTATCAATTTGATACAAATTTAAGATCCACCACGATCACAAAATAATGCAAGCATTAGATAATATTCCAACTTTCATAGCAACTACCTTTGACGTTAGAGGAATGCATTCTCACGAGCAATGTGGTAACTTGTCTTGAGATATGACGTGGCATATGCACCCACAGCAAAAAAAACACTTTTGTGAAATAATAAAACAAATAGACATAAAGAAAACAACCATAATCCATCCGAACTTTTGTACCACTGAGAATATGATCCTTTGATTCTTACATGGATGATCTTCTGACTTGGTATTGGGAAAAAATCACTCAATGATCTTTCCCCTCTATTCAGTAACGTTTCAAAAAAATATAATCCTCATTTCAATATATAATAAGGAAGCTAAACCAAATAAGAATACATGATGATATACTACCATTCTTTCCTTGATATTACTTGTGTGTCTCAACATTACTTGTGTGATTCAAGTGTTCTTGAGACATGTCAGCGCAAAGGAGCGTGTCAACATTACTTCTGTCAGTCGAAATTACTTGTGTGACTGAATCTTACTTGTGTGACTTTGATTTCCTTGCAGCTTCAGGGACACCTTTCAGGTGGTGCAATAGATACCGCCAAGTTTTGTCTCACAAAACGCTAATGGTTTCACAGCAGGAGGCAGAAACCGTACATTCCTCGCAGCCGGATGAAACTCCGCAGAAGGGACCAGACAAGACGTCTACACAAGGATCTCCGAGAACTTCCCCGAGACTCTCCACACCTATGAAAAGACCCAGTTCTCGTGCCATTCCCAAGACGCCGACTAAGCCTAAGGCAGCCAGCAAGTCCAAAGCCTCGGTTGCCGCTGCAAAGGCCAAATCAAAGGGCAAAGGAGTCACAAAGCAGAACATGAAGAGGCCAGCTTCGTCTTTGAAGTCGAAAGGAGTGGAATGTGGCAAGGATGGCAAGGAAACGTCGTCCGGATCGAAGATGAAGAGGCCAGCCGCAGCTGAGAGCACGTCCTGGAAGTCGGGAATTGTTCGTGCCAAAGAGGACACAGGAAGTGAAGATGAAGAACCTGAGGAAGAAGGTGAAACTTTCTCTCCTGACCCAGAAGTCGAGGTACAGGATGGTGGTGAAGCCCGTGACCGATCCAAGATGCAGAAGTTCCAGGGTATGCTTGCGACCAATTCCTTGCCTGCTTTCCTGGCCGCAGAATGGGAAAGAACCTTGACCCTGAAGGTTGGCAAGCGAGAGCGCCAGAGCGCCTTGGTTAATGCATTGTTCGATCGGAATGCCGCAGGGAAACTCATCATGAACACCCAGAAGCCGATTTTCCAATCGCTTCATGAAGAGTATCAAGACACGAAGACGAAAAAGGCCTTCAAGACACTTCCCAAGGTCTTGTTCTGCGGGAAATTCAATTTGTCACCTGAGGCGCTGGAGCAAGGCCTTAGAGAAGGGCAATTTGTCGAGGTGGAAGGACCTTCGGGGGCCGAATATGGATGGCGAACAAGTACTCATGCTGACATCAAAGGTTCCAAGTCTGCCACTGGATACAAGCAGTCCGAAGAAGGCACTGCTGACATGATGCAGAAGTACCATGAGATGAGCAAAGCTTGGAAGAGCGGCATTTCCAGGCCTGCTGTGTCCGCAGGAAGCTCGCAGAGGCAGCCGTTAGCCATTTGCGACGAGAATTCGTTGACTTCGGAAGAGTGGGAAGTGGCTAGCAAACAGCTGCAGCAAGCTCTTGCTGCAATGGAGCAGCAGGAGAAGAACGCTTTGAAGTACATGAGCCAGTTGGAAGATGGTGAAGAAGATCCTCTCTATGACGTGGTGAGACTCGACATACGTTCCATATGTTTCTTTCACTTTCTTTTAACCACAATAGTTGAACAACACCTACATATAGAGGTTAACATAGTCTCGAGCCTCGACTTCTCCTCATACGGAGGAAATCTTCCATTCGCGAGATCCGTCTCATGAAGAATGAGGCGGCCCATGTCAAAAGCTTCAAGGAGCTTCCTGATTCAACCAAGCTTACCTTGCGAGTATACAACAACTTTGTGGAGAAGCAAGGCAAGAATTCCGAGACGCAAGAGGACGCGCTCGCAGGAGTTGCCGGTCAATTGGCCCAGCGCGCAAAGCGTGCAAAGAAGGTATAGAGGGTGTATCTGCGAAGAAGCTTGTCACGGTGCGCAGGTTGAATAAAAAAGACAAGACTGTATAAAGAGTCTTACTTGCGAGAAAATTTCTTGAACCAACATTACTTGTGGCAACCATGTTTCCACATTACTTCCGTGCCCTACTTTCGTTTTTATTTGTGTCGCCGAGCGCAGACTTACTTGGAAAGAGTGATGTGTGAAATTCAATTCATTTCCGGCATCATTTCTCCAGGCGTCGACCGTTTCACCAGACATGATGCATTTAGAATATTTCTTTTTTCCAATCAATGATATCATAAGTAGTCGTGTCCATCTTGTCGATAATCTGCATCACTTCCGGATTCCCAATATAAAATCAAACATGTAACCAAATGACTTTGTCAAAGTACCTTATATAAACACATATTAGACGACAAGTTGCAGCCATGGAGGCAGAACTGCACAGAGCTGGCAAGAAACGAAAGTTGCAAGGAATCCAGCAGCGCCTTGCCCATGCTGAAGCATCGACAACCGCAAACAGTGCAGTGCATGCATTACTTATGACATTGCTTGCCAAAGGCATAATGTCAGGAGTTTTGGCCCATGAATTTGCTCGTGCTGCACAAGAGGATCTGCGAAGAGCTCGCGAAGGCATTGTGTACCCAGACTTGGAGAAATTAGCCAATCTGGCCCAAGGTCGAAATCTTCTTCGATCAGTCTTTGCACAGTTGAGGAAATCGACCTCTTTGCCTGAGCCCACGAAGATTCCAATGCCGTATACAGATGGTTGGCAAGACACGTTCATCTTACTTCCGCATGAGTGGTTTGCCGCAATGGCGGAAGATGAGTACAATTGGAGAAGAACTATCTGTCCGAACGAGGATCGCTTAAGTGATTTTTGGGACTCCTGGCAAAATCATCCAGGAATGGTGCGACATCCAATGAAAGGAATTTCCAATTGGAAGACAAAAGTTTTGCCAATTTCGCTGCACGGAGATGAAGTACCCGTAATGGGTGTGGGAAAAATTTGGTGTCGCTCTGTCCTGGCCTTCACATGGATGAGCATGCTAGCGAACGGATTAGGTTCTCAAATGTCTGACATAGTTTTCTATATTTGGGGAATCTTTTCCAAATTCGTGGCTCCTGCATCGGCAAACACCCTGGGATCGATGGAAACATTATGGCGTGTATTGCGTTGGTCATTCCAGAGCATGTTCGAGGGCAAGTGGCCGACCCGCGATTGGCGGGGGCTGCCATACGACAAAGCTTCAAAGGAAGGTCAACGTGGAGGAACACCTCTGGCACGTGGCTTTCGGGCCGTTCTGCTCCAATTGTGTGGAGACTTAGATTACCTGAGTACCTGGCTAAATGTTCCTGCATCAACAAACAGGAGCAAACCTTGCGCCCAGTGTCGCGCCACCTTCCACGGCATAAATACTTGGCTTGACAATAGGGAGAATTCGGGCTGGCAGAGAACATTGCTCTCCGTATCTTCTTGGAACTCACATTGGACAAGCCCTTGTGACATATTTCAATTACCAGGCATGTCATGCTGGTCCATTGCTTACGACCTGATGCACAACTTATACCTTGGATGGCTTCAACATTTTTACGGTTCCGTCTTTTACTTGCTGACCCATGAATGTCTCCTTGATACACCTCTGAAAAACTTGCAGCAAGTCGAGGCATTTATCAAAAATACGCAATCGCAAGATGGGAGTCGCCAACGTTACCGTCAAAAATTGTCAAAGCTCAGCATGTTTGTTAAAAAAAAGGTTTTCCCAAACTTAAGGGAAGAGCTTCCGATGTGCGTGGCCTCGATCTTGCCTTGTGGCTATGTTGGAAAAATTTCATGCATGAAGATTCAGTGCAACATCAGACAATTGAAACGTTCCTACGATTAAATGTGGAACTCGGAAACCTTTTGAATGATCATTCTCCCCGAGAAGGTCACTTCGGCATTTCTAATCCTTATGCAGAAGAAGCTATCCAAACGGGATGCCAAATGGCTCAACTACACATCATGCTGATGGAGCACTTTGCTGAATACGATGTTCAGCTCTTCAATTGCACTTCCAAGATGCACTTCGTTTTGCACACACTGAAGTTGGCACAGCACTGCCACCCCTCTCTGACCTGGTGCTTCAAGAACGAATCCAACATGAGGATAATTCAACAATTGTGGAAATCATGTCTTTCTGGAAATAAACACTATAACGTTGCGAAAGTAGCTGCGTTGAAATATCGACATCTACAGGCCATTCGCTGCAAGCTTTGAGGAGAAAACAATTACTTGCGATTCTCTCTCTTCCAGGATTTCATTTTACATATCCCTTACTTGCGAAAAGATATGCATTCCTTGCGAACGCAGTTGCCTTACTTGTGTGCAGGTATATGCAAATCTACAAAAAAATTCTTCCATTTTTGCAAAAAAACAAAATATGCACTAACTCCCACAATAAACATTGAATAACATAACACCAAAACTTCGCCAAAAAAACACTTATCTGAAAATCATACATTTAGGTGTCATGTAAATGTATTTACTAATTTCATTTGCGTTCCCACAAATTTACAGTAAATCACTGTAAAATAGTAAATCGCTAAGATGTGTAATTTTACTCTTTTTCGAGACTCAGGGCACATACCGTGGCTTCCCATCGCCCATGTTGTACGCGAAGATGTCAGCCATGTTACACAAAGCCTCCGTGCTGAAAGCATGCTTGTCAGGATCACAGAGCGACACGACATTGCCGTGACGAACTCGGACCGTTCCTGACATTCCATCAATGGCCTCAGGCTTCGGCTTGTCAAGAGCTGCCACAACCATGCTAATGTGTTCCGGCATGGATTTACTGGGCTGATGCTGCATTCCGGCTGGAGAGACAAGAAACTCCGCCACAGATGCCACGGGCAGAACATGCCCCATCCGCACCTGCCGACGTTTGTCATTTTTCACAACGACTTCCTGGTGTAACGATTTCTACTCTATAAAATGCGACAGTCACACCAACAATTCCTGCCTCAGTGCCTTGAAACACATACAACGGCGCAGGTCTGCTCTCGGTGTCCCACTCCTCGAGTAACTTCGGAGTAGCTGCCAGCAACTCAGAATTGGCTACGGTGACCGTTTCATACTGCGTCGCCTTCTGGGAGCCGATAATCACATCACAGCGAGCTCGGAAAGGAAGGCTGACGTGTCCCTCTTCTCGCAAACACGTTTCCAAACCTTGAACAGAACGCAAAGAAGTGAAAGCTGCGAGCTCGTCACCCCGACAGAGCACATTCCGGAGGGAGCCCGTCGAATCCGCTAACGTCACCGACGTCAGAACTACTTTCTCCGCGCTCGGCACCCCCGTGCATTGGCCATGCGGGCAACTCACAGCACCCTCGGGCATCTTCTTCTTGCAGATCGAGCAGGGAATGTACAAAAGATCTCCATCTCGCACTTCCGTCAGCCACACGCCCGGCACGAAGACACGAACCTCATCTGGCAACCAGATCTCCGCCACAACACCCGCGGGGACACCGCCACCAGCTCGGTTCGCGACGGGTCGCGCAAAGTCCAAACCAAAAGCCAAAGACGAATTCTTCACAGAAGCTAAGCAAGCGGTAAAACACTTCCCCGTGGCCGTCATCTGCGGATTCTCCGGCTGCCATGGCACTGAGATGGCATCGCCGCCATCAATGTCAACCGCGGCAAATTGTTTCACGACATCTTCTGCAGTCGGTGCCAAAATAAAAGCAGAGCCTCTTTCTGTCTGTCCGGCATGTTCTCCTGTGAGCGTACACGACTGGCCGTCGGAAGTTTGACGGACTGAGAAGTTCATCAGCAGGACAATCTGCGTTGCGCCATATCCACGCAACTGCCCAGCGAAATTTTTCCCCCAAGCTTCCACCAGTAGACGCTTGTCCGAAGCGTCTTTCACCCACAGCTCCACCTTTTCCTAACATGCAGGAATCAGCTTCACATGCATTTGTGTACTTCGCTACATTATAATCATGGAAACGAAACAAATTTCAAAATTGCCAAAAACATATCAGGCCTGGTTCTCTTTGATCACACGCACATTCAAATCGCAAATCTTGCAGAGTAGATCTGCTTTGCTTCCCTGTCCCAACGTCGTCAGGTCTGCAATGTGACCCAACGTCACAGGGCCAAAGCCAACGCTTTTCTGCAACGCCACATATGCCGGATCAGTGGGCGCCAACAGTTCCACTTTCACATTCTGCTTCTTCGTCAGATCGATGTACTTGCCACCCGAGTGGTACACACTTTTCTTGAAGCACAGAGCGCGAAAGCACATCAAAGCACCTGGTTTGAGTTTCTGTTGTAGCTGCTCCATGTCAGCTTTGGCACCAATGGCTTCACACCACATGCGGCGTCGAAACTCATCCATCACCAATGCGATGCATTTGAAGAAGCTTTTCACAGGCTTGACGATGCATTCCAGAACAACAACTGGAACTTCATAGCGCACACTTTGCGCGTCCACAACCTCGTCAAACCCCGATCGTAGAAACATTTGCTTCATCTGCCCTGGGGACACCGCCACCTCGGGTTTGGCACCCCAGAGACTACTCAGCATTGCTTGAAGCAGTAGAAGCAACGTAATAACACGTTTTTCCGAAAGTCCCAATGCAGCAATAGAAAAGTGCAACATCAAAGTCACTTTCAATATGCATCCCTGCAACATGACCGGCAACATCGCCACCAGACTTCTAACAGCATGGTATTATGCTGTGCTTTACTTTGCAGCAATATCACAACAACCGCTGCCTCGGGAAAAGCGGCATCCTTGTCAGCGCCTGACAGTCTCTGCGATGCTCGCCACCTCCCGACCAGCACACACCGCGCCATCCACGGATGTCAAGCAACAGAAAAAAAAAGGCTTTCATGTCAAGCTATGCAACACAACAACAAAAACGAAAACATCTCAATTTGCAGCTGGCGAGGATTGCTACAAATGCCACAATTTGTTTTTTTTTTGGTCCCAACGACGCATGCTGCCTCACTGTCACCGGGGACAGCGCCACCTGGTTGCGCCCGCTGCCCGCTCTCACATCAGCTGCCTACTTGGATGCACCTCGTAGTACACATGCCCACCTTCGTTTCGCGGGCTCGGCGTGCGCAGGGCCCCATAGAGACGCCACTGTGTCGCATCCGCACAATACAGATGCCCACTCTGCAACAGCCGCACCAAGCCAAGGTGGGTCACTGTTACTGGAATCACCACCACATCACGAGCCATGAGCTCAGGATGCGCATCCACCACACTTGCCGCCGCCGCACCTCCCGATGTCTTCAAAGGCCAGTAGCGGCCACATCGCACTTTGGGCGCTTCCACTTGTCCCATGATCTCGAACTGCTCATGCTGCTCCGGAGTCATGCCCATATAAAGACGCAGCGCCGCGCCGCCATGGCCAGTCAGCTCACCGCCCAGCAACGGCTGATGATCTGCGTTGGCACCGTCGGGGACATCGCCACCAGACTCAGTAGGCACCAGCGCAAACTCCATGTCACGTTCCTTTCACTGTGGACCTTCCCGTAAGGCAGGAATTTGGTATTCCTATCAGCTTTCGCTCTGCAAGCCAAAGCAATCCCGTCGGTTGATATCAGGACAACACACAAGACGTCATCCATAGGTTTCAAGTTTTAAACCATGACATTTTCCATTCAGCAGTATTTGCAGCACACAATTAATCTCACGGATCCGCACCCAATTCACTAGCCTCGACGAGAATCGAGTGCATAAGAACCAAAACCGGTTCGTGGATCGGTACCGTGCGACCTACCAAAATGGTTGATGGCGACGCAATCCTTTTTTTTTCCACTGAAGTAAAACAGACACGATGTAAGACTTGCAAAGTGGTGAAGCTCCATGTCTTCCACAGTTATCGAAAAAGAAGATGACGGTACATACAATCATATTTCTTTATTAATCCCCATCAAAGACACCGCCTTCAGCTGTACCATCACCAGCTCATTTTTTAAATACGTATCAAACACTGCAAGTCCGAGCCGATCAAATCGGTTGGGGCCAGCGCCACCTAACCTCCGCCGGGGCCACAGCTGCACCATTACCACCATATGCATCTATTCCTATCATCAGCCTTTGCTCTGCAAGCCAAAGCAATCCCGTCGGTTGATATCAGGACAACACACAAGACGTCATCCATAGGTTTCAAGTTTTAAACAATGACATTTTCAATTCACCACTTCCCTTATTTGCAGCACACAATTAATCTCACACACGCACCCAATTCACCAGCCTCGACGACAATCAGGTGCATGAGAACCGAAACTGGTTCGTGGATCAATACCGTGTGACCTGCCAAAATGTTTGATGACGACACAATCAAATTTTTCACTGAAGCAAAACAGACACGATGTAGGACTTGCAAAGTGGTGAAGCTCCATGTCTTCCACAATTATTCAAAAAGAAACTGTCAGTACATAGAATCATATTTCTTTTTTCATCCCCATCAAAGACACCGCTTTCAGCTGTACCATCACCAGCTCATTTTCTTTATATGCATCAAACACTCCAAGTCCGAGCCGATCGAAACGGTTGGGGCCAGCGCCACCTAACCTGCGCCGGGGCCACCGCCACCTGGTCGCGGCCCAAAGCAGCAAGCCCCTCACTCCAGCTGCACACTCGGGTGGATCTCGTAGTAGACATTGTCATCGTGGTCACGCGGCGCCGGTGTGCGCAAAGGCGCGTACAGGCGCCATTGGTTGGCGTCCACACAGTACAGGTAGCCCATCTGGACCAGCTTCACAACTCCCACGTGCGTCACCGTGACCGGCTTCAGCACAACATCATCCAGCTGCAGGCCCTGGTTCCCATTCACGACGCTTTGGGCCGCAGCAGTTTTCCCTGTCTTCAGCGCCCAGTACGCTTGGCCGCCACGACCGACAGGTGACTCCACTTGGCCCGTCACCTCAAACTGCGTTGCCTGCTGCTGGGTCATACCAGCATACAAACGCAAGGCTGCGCCGCCATGGCCAGTGATATGGCCACCATCAAGAGGCGGATGGCTCGCACCAGCCACATCGGGGACAGCGCCACCTGATGCAGCACCGGCCAAAGTTAACGCCATGTCTTCACAGCAGCAGCGGGCAATTTGCCACGCAACACCTTGTAAAGTCTTGATCACTATCGAGCCAAAAACACCACAACAAATAAAAGTCTCTGAAGCCATCTAGATTTGAAGGATTGAGCTTGATTGTCATATAAACCAATACATGAAAATCAAACGAAAAGACATCAGACATATTTGGAAATGAATCAATTGATCACACGATATGCCCAACCAGCCTGCAACAAGGATCTTTTTGACGGCGGCGCCAGTGAATCCTGGCGATCAGACATATTGAACAATCCATAAAATCATCATACATACACGCAAATATACATATTATTTATCTACATATTTGATCTATTGATAACGGGCAAATAAAACACGCAATTTCAATAAAAACAAACATCCCAATCGGCAGTGCAAGCATCTTCAACGATCCCTACATCAGCCATACAAAGACAGAACATTTCTTTCCTGTCACCAATGCTGGAAATCTCATAATGACACGCCGAGTATGCTGTTGCCTAATCCACAGTCGCCGGAGCGGAATCAATCACATCGGCGACTGCTGCTGATCCAGCAGCAGCAGTCACCAAAGTCACTAAATCAAACAGCATCACACGAAGTCCTTGAAAGAAATCTCGGAGATCATTTGTTACCGCAGGCGACGGATCGGCAATCCATGCTGCGAGGACATTGAGTCCAGCAGACAGTTGGAAAGTCAATAGACATTTCTTCTCATCAGACAAAGATCCTACGAAGCTAACCACAGACGGCGAATATGGCCGCACAACCAGCCAGTGCAATGGCGATAGCTCCACCTGTGCTTGCTCGCATGGTATCAATGCCCGAGAGGCGATCGCACAGAAAATCGCCAAGGCGCCCCACTGTATTTTCGAACTGACCGCAAAACAAATAGCAGCCACGCCCGCAAGGGCTACATCCAATTGCAACCGATGGCTTTCATCCGCTGACCACTGCACCACGAAGGGAACTGCCAAATCAGACAAGACTGCCATGTCATCGAAGTCGGGGACACGGCCACCTGACCCGTCCCCAGCCTGCGCAGCATCGCTTGACATATCGCCACCGTTCATCGGCGACACGTTCATAGAGCGACAGCCATACAGCATCCAGCTTGGATGTGTTTTTGAGCATATAAGCAACAACAAACTAATCACTTTCATAATTGTTTTCGTTTTCATGCATTTGGTATGATAAGCAAAGGTGACATAAGAGCCGGCCGGGGACAACTGCCACCAGACCTCCTGAGGCATGGCACAACCGACAGTATTGTCAACAAACAGCCGGATGCGCTGGCGAACGACGACACAACTTCCCGTGCCTCTGCAGTATCACCACCACGAGCGTCCCAAAGGCAGCACTGTGCAGCAAGCATCACCTTTCGAAACATGTGCCGATGTCAATGAACCTAACGTTGATGTTGCATTCAAAATGCCGATGTCAATGAATCAGGTTAGATGTCGCATTAAAAAACTCATTCAATCTGTTCTAACAACACATCGTGCACGTCCAACAATACAAAGCGGCGCCCACCTTGCAATGAAAATGGACACGGATGTTGCCAAGCTTGTCTGCTATCCGTGACTGAGTTGATCCTACCCTGCCTCCAGACGAAGCAGCAGTCGCTAAATCTGACTTTATCAATCCCAGCACCCAAACGATGCATGTACAAAGCTTTCCAACATTTTCCACAAAGCCCATCGGGCACACGGAGCTTTACTGCTCAGATGCATTGGGATCGGATGCAGTCGAATGCCTTTGGTCGGCTGCACTCAAATGGATGCGGACATGTCCGGGCTGTTGCAACGGATGTTAGCAAAATTAGATGATACTCACCTGGCCGCATGCATTGCACACTCTACGTTTGGTCTTACCCCGCCTCCACACGAGGCAGCAGTCGCTAAGTGTGACTTTCTCAATCAAAACACACAATCGATGCATTTCGATACTTTCCAACACTCAGGCAAAATCATATCGGGCGGATGCACAAATCCTATCGGGCACACGGAGCTTTACTGCTCAGATGCATTGGGATCGGATGCAGTGGAATGCCTTTGGTCGGCTGCACTCAAATGGATGCGGACATGTCCGGGCTGTTGCAACGGATGTTAGCAAAATTCGATGATACTCACCTGGCCGCATGCATTGCACACTCTACGTTTGGTCTTATCCCGCCTCCACACGAGGCAGCAGTCGCCAAGTGTGACTTTCTCAATCAAAACACACAATCGATGCATTTCGATACTTTCCAACACTCAGGCAAAATCATATCGGACGGATGCACAAATCCCATCAGGTGCACGGAGCTTTACCGCTCAGATGCATTGGGATCGGATGCAGTCGAATGCCTTTTGGTCGGCTGCACTCAAATGGATGCGGACATGTCCGGGCTGTTGCAACGGATGTTAGCAAAATTAGATGATACTCACCTGGCCGCATGCATTGCACACTCTACGTTTGGTCTTACCCCGCCTCCACACGAGGCAGCAATCGCTAAGTGTGACTTTCTCAATCCAAACACACAATCGATGCATTTCGATACTTTCCAACACTCAGGCAAAATCATATCGGGCGGATGCACAAAATCCTATCGGGTGCACGGAGCTTTACTGCGCAGATGCATTGGGATCGGATGCAGTCGAATGCCTTTGGTCGGCTGCGCTCAAATGGATGCGGACATGTCCGGGCTATTGCAACGGATGTTAGCATAATTAGATGATACTCACCTGGCCGAATGCATTGCACACTCTACGTTTGGTCTTACCCCGCCTCCACACGAGGCAGGAGTCGCCAAGTGTGACTTTCTCAATCAAAACACACAATCGATGCATTTCGATACTTTCCAACACTCAGGCGAAATCATATCGGGCGGATGCACAAAATCCTATCGGGTGCACGGAGCTTTGCTGCTCGGATGCATTGGCGTCGGATGCAGTCCAATGCCTTTGGTCGGCTGCACTCAAATGAATGCAAACATGACTGAGCTATTGCAACGGAGGTTACCAAAATTAGATGATACTCACCTGGCGGTATGCATTGCAGTCTCGACGAGTCATTCGAAGCAACACCGGCGAATAGAAACCACGGCCAAGCACCTGCCCCCAAACGTGCCAAAGGATATTGATGGAGATGGAAGAAAAGAAAAACATGAACACCACCAAAGGCATGTTCAAGATGGCGCTTGCCGATGTCAATGAATCAGGTTAGATGTCGCATTTAAAAACTCATCCAATCTGTTCTAACAACACATTGTGCACGTCCAACAATACAAAGCGGCGCCCACCTTGCAATGAAAATGGACACGGATGTTGCCAAGCTTGTCTGCTATCCGTGACTGAGTTGATCCTACCCTGCCTCCAGACGAGGTCGCTAAATCTGACTTTATCAATCCAAGCACCCAAACGATGCATGTACAAAGCTTTTCAACATTTTCCACAAATCCCATCGGGTGCACGGAGCTTTACTGTTCAGATGCATTGGGATCGGATGCAGTCGAATGCCTTTGGTCGGCTGCGCTCAAATGGATGCGGACATGTCCGGGCTGTTGCAACGGGTGTTAGCAAAATTAGATGATACTCACCTGGCCGCATGCATTGCACACTCTACGTTTGGTCTTACCCCGCCTCCACACGAGGCAGCAATCGCTAAGTGTGACTTTCTCAATCAAAACACACAATCGATGCATTTCGATACTTTCCAACACTCAGGCAAAATCATATCGGGCGGATGCACAAAATCCTATCGGGTGCACGGAGCTTTGCTGCTCGGATGCATTGGCGTCGGATGCAGTCCAATGCCTTTGGTCGGCTGCACTCAAATGGATGCGGACATGTCCGGGCTATTGCAACGGATGTTAGCAAAATTAGATGATACTCACCTGGCCGCATGCATTGCAGTCTCGACGAGTTATTCGAAGCAACACCGGCGAATAGAAACCACGGCCAAGCACCCGCCTCCAAACGTGCCAAAGGATATTGATGGAGATGGAAGAAAAGAAAAACATGAACACCACCAAAGACATGTTCAAGATGGCGCTTGCCGATGTCAATGAATCAGGTTAGATGTCGCATTTAAAAACTCATCCAATCTGTTCTAACAACACATTGTGCACGTCCAACAATACAAAGCGGCGCCCACCTTGCAATGAAAATGGACACGGATGCTGCCAAGCTTGTCTGCTATCCGTGACTGAGTTGATCCTACCCTGCCTCCAGACGAGGCAGCAGTCGCTAAATCTGACTTTATCAATCCAAGCACCCAAACGAAGCATGTACAAAGCTTTCCAACATTTTCCACAAATCCCATCGGGTGCACGGAGCTTTACTGTTCAGATGCATTGGGATCGGATGCAGTCGAATGCCTTTGGTCGGCTGCACTCAAATGGATGCGGACATGTCCGGGCTATTGCAACGGATGTTAGCAAAATTAGATGATACTCACCTGGCCGCATGCATTGCACACTCTACGTTTGGTCTTACCCCGCCTCCACTGGGCTTTATCTGCATGCTGCCACTGCTTCCAAAAGAGTCGGCGGCAAGGCATCCGGTGGGAAGTAGCAATGACACTCGCCGTCTTTTTCAAACAGCAGCACCTGGAAATGCATTTCGTCGATGTAATATAAGCACAGCCACAGACAAGGCGTTTCCTTCACTCCAACATAAGCATGCAGTACCTTACCCGCAGCGATGCTTTCAGTCGCCGCTTGCGTGTTTGTCCACGTATTCCCAGCTATGATGAAAGACACATTTAACTCATCTGACAAAGCTGCGATATCCACATCTGTCGCCCAATGTCGATTGCCACATGTTTCCAGCTGCAAAGCAACTTCATGCTGCAACTTTGTCAATGCAGCAACACCTCCACGGATGCGTTTGCTGCGGGTGACAAGACTATCTCCTTCCTGAAAGCGAACTTGCAAAGCATCGTCGAGGACCTGGACATCCACGACAACATTGACAGTGGCCAAAAACTCGAAAGGGGACTTTCGAAGTAATGCAAGCATAGACCATTGGTCCATCCACGCGCCAGCTTT